TGCTTTCATTTCAATGGACACAGAGAAGAATACCAAATAAAATATTCCTTCTTAGTCCTCCCCTGTTTCTCTTTTTTTGCCAAGAGTATAAAAAAGACATTTTCCCTTTAGCAAAGCAGTAAGTGACACAATCAAAGAAAAAAATTGCCTTGCAGAATTATATTGTGTTTTCAACTTTATTAAAATAAACCAAAAAAAGAGAGAAAGGATGAAAAAAAGTGACTTTAAGAAGTCCATTAAGCTACCGTGGGTTTGTGGAGGTGTTGGTTGGTCGTTTACCTTCCTAAGTAATTAACCTCTTTGGTGTGATTTTATGTTGTTTGTTTTTAGCTTTTGTCAACAACAGGCAGTCACTTCAAACCAGAAAGTCCCTAAAAGCACTGAGACTCTCCAGAGGTGGGTGCTTTGGGCCAAGACCATGGATGGGGGGACAGAGGGCTTTACTTTTAGCGCTTCCCTTGGTGCCTCAGAATCAACAGGATGACCTGTTTGGGGGTTCCTAAAAAACATGGTCCACAGGGGCAAAGGTGCCAGTTTTCACGTGCTGCATAGTGTGCTCCATTTCGGCAAATCCTCCTCCTGACCTCGTGACCTCCTGACTATTATGCTACCCAGATGTCCACATCCTTTGTTGGGACAAGCTTGCTGGGGACAAAGCTCCATACTTCATATTTATTTTCTCTTCATTTCAAAAAATGTCCTTTCCTGTATTGCGAATAGTTGAAAGCAGGAAAGTGACTTTTTAATAAGACTAATTCACATTAAAGTGAAAATGACTGATTACTCCTTTGAAAGGTTACACTTCGAGTTATTTGTTTATATTTTAAGAATAGGGATATTTACTTCTTTGAGCATTCATTTTTCAGCATTACATATTCTGTCCCTTGTGTCCCTAGGTGCCAATTTTAGATTCACATATATTATCACTATCATGTTAACTAAAAGGGATAAATCTTTATTGGTAATATTTGAAGGACTATGGTAGATAAAGAAGACCTCTCCAAATATCCACATCATATCATCTTGGAAACCGATTACTCAGCTAAGTCTCTATTCCTGTATCTAAACCAGGACCGAGGGCTGAATGCCCTCTGCAAAGGCGTCTTTGTAAGGTGCTTCCCATCATGGGAGATGCAGCGTAGAGATCCCAATATAGGTGGACTCATTCTACAGAGTAAAATGAGAAGTGCATAATTAATCCCCTAACCATTCTCTGCTTGGCCAAACCTTGCCAGAAGTTTCCACCATTTGATCCTCTATGTGTGAAGTGAATACAGAAGAGGAACAATGAGGCAGCTATTGGCACAGGAAGGGGCTTTAGGAGACTCTCACAGCTCATGTGGATATGGGAAACTGCAGAAGACAGAGGTCGAGGTCGAGGTGAAACGAGACCCTGCAACCTAATGGCAGTGACCAAGATAGCATGTGTTAGGGTTCAAAGCCTCAGAGATCCATCTGGTTTTCTTGGTGGAAAACTCATTTATCTTGACCTAACGCAGGAAATGAGAAGGAAGCAGCAGCCACCAAGACAGAAGAAAACTTCATCATTTGAAGAAGGAAAGTCAATGTGCACCAGGTGCCTTTAGTGTAAACATTTCAGAAAAACTCCCAGAAGTTTGTTGGAGCTCATGTGTGTCCATAGAGCTGTGCCCTTCCTCCACCGTCCTCTGGAAGGCTGGTAAAACCCAGTGCAGGCCGCCATCCTAGTGGGACTAGAGGAAGAAACAAGGAAGGATTAGAGCCAGGGAGGAGGAGGGAATCTTCCAGGAACAATTTTCAAGAACATCTTAGGAATTCAGGTGGACAGCTTCAGTGGGGACCAAAGATGGGGAGCAAATAGCATGGAGGAGAAAGATTTGTATTATAAGGTATAGGGCAGAAAATTTCGAATTGGAATTCTCAACCCTGTTGCCAAGTATTTCAAAGGACCACTTCTGATGTTGTTTGTCACTGTTGTGCAAACTAGGTTTCCCGCAAAGTATTGAGGGATCACATACCCTGATGTCTGCGCTCTTTAACTCCCAGGATCATTATTCTTCTCATGGGAAGGAAATCATTGATGGAAATCCCTTCAGCATTTATTGGATAGCAAATAAATAGCCCTTATTCCTTCTGGAAGAATTTATTTGAAGCAGTATTACTTAGAAAGACTCTGTAAAGAACAAATATAGGTTGAAACTTGGATTTTACTCAATATTCTAGAAAGACGATGGGCTGTCAGCATCCTACAAATAAATGCCCTGTCTCTTCCTAGAACCTATGAAATCCCTCTCCCCTCTGAGGCCATCTGGCGTTCGCATTACACTTTCATGTGGTTTTTCACTCACAAAACCAGGTCTTCACCCGCACTCTTTCATGCCAGGAATTTCATCCCAGCAATGTCCACCCCTTCCATTCCTTCTGTCACATATTTCTTAAGGCATCAAGATGTCCCTGAATAGGTAAAGCTTTTTTCTCCCTGTCCTTTTTCTTATATAGAGCATCTGGGTATGAAATCAACCATTGTATATAAACTATGTACACATTGTGTTTGTTCATTCACAGGTATTGGTTGCTGTTTGTGTGAATGGTTTAGATGTTCTTTGTAGAATTATTCTCTTCTCTCTATTTGTGTCAACAATGCCCACTTTCAGTTGTAACCCATTTAAAGGTAAAAGTATATTCTTTAGCCAGTAGTTTTTAAAAAAATGCATATATAGGAATATCCCCTGAGGTGCAGAGAGAAAATATTGGAGTTTGCATGTTTATATACATATAAAAAAATATACCCTTGTATTTATATACACACATTAAAATGTACATGGATTAATATACATATATGTATACACATAAGTATATGTGAATATACACACATAAGTATGTCTATTTTAATATCCTTTGTTTTTTATCTTTGTATATTTTCAAAAGATTTTTGTGGAGTAGTGCCTAGATATATCTTATGTTTGGAACATTTTTTTCCTAGGGGTGCATGATCAGACCCTGCATATACCACCATGTGATAATGAAGCAACCGTGCTGACGATAATATTCACTCATTGCTTGCTTTTTGGTGCTTCTAAAAATTGCTATTTAATTATAATATAATCTTCAATACTGTTTTTTAATAAATAAAAGATCATTTACAATAAGTACCCTTTCATCAATCTCTGCTTTGAGAAGTAAAGAGAGACAACAAAATAGATTTGTTGACACCACAGTGTGACAAAAAACTTGGAGTTGGTGATATTTAAAAGATAAATGGATAAAGCATCCCCCTTTTTTCTTGGTATTTATTCACTGCATGGTCAGATGTGCAGGATGCGGAGGGGCAGCCTCTCCAACACTCCCACTGCGGAGCCCCACCAATGTTCTGCTTGGCCATGGCAAGGTTGTGCAAGATTGGTTGGTGGTTGGTGCTGAGCCCAACACTGGCGTTGAGGTTGTTCTGGGGAAAGACTGGATAGAGGCACAATGTGTGGCCGGCACGAGCCCCTTCCCACCCTGGCCACCCCAGCACAGGGGCATGCCCTGACAGCAACCCAGTGTGCCCCAAGAGTGAGTAAATAGAAAGAGCGATCCAGGCTGCAGTTGTGTGATCTGAGCAATGATGCCAGAGAGGAGGTTCCTTTTGTTCCTGATGCCTCCTCCAGAGACACTTCTCCCAGAGTAGCAGCCAGCATGGCAGTGAGACTTGCATTTTCCCCGAGTGGTGAATGTTCTAGACCACCCAGACTCTCGTTGGATTGGGGACCCTCCCGCCCTGCCCTCCTCCACGATTTCTTGCTCCAGACTTCCTGAATTTGTCAGCCACAAAGGCAACAGTTCCCAAAAAAGAGCATTTTGGCCGATGGTTAAGAATCCTGCTATTCTCTCTGTGAAGTGACAGTAAAGGGAGGAGGATGACCCTTGGTGCCGTGATGTTTGGAGGTGGCTGGGCAGACGAAAAAGACAACTGTCGATCATTTGGATGGCGGGCGGCTTGGAGTCACCGTACAAGCAGAGGGAAAAGGCTGAAAAGAAATAATGTCAAATGTTAACAGTATGGCAAAATGATAGGTGATTTCATTTTCTTCTTGGTATTCTGAAGTGCAAATTCTCTATAATGAGAATGTATTTCTTTTAAGCTAGAAAAATATGTAATGTTAAAATATGTACCCCAAACCTGAATACTGTAAAACACTTTAAATAAGTAAGCACTTATGTATAGAAACCCTAAACAAATCAAAGTTGCCAACAATCACAAAAGGTAATTTTATTCAAATTCAAAATGGGAGCTATCTCATTTTCAGACATTCACAGGATAGAATATCAAGACTGAGCTGTGTTTGTGGATGAGGAAAGATGGCTTTTGTTTTCTCTGTGTCAGATGGTTTCTCTCTCTTGGCCAAGATTACATTTCCAGAATATCTACTTCTCCAGGTCTCCTGACTTTTATTTTTCCATGGTTGCAATCTCCTGTAATTATGGGAATAGGTGTTTTCCTGGAGCAGCATCTCTGAGATTAGCCAGTTTGGAGCCAGCCTGAGTAGTCCCAGTTGGTGCTAATAATCTTCTCTGTCAGGACATAAGTTTTCAGAACATTCAGCTCTGCTGGGAGACTTAAAACAGCTGGAAAATGCATGCCTTGAGTTTTTAGATCTGACAGTATTTGAATCTACTGTCCAATAGTACTTAAAACCTGTTTAAAATTTTTTTGCATTTTATTTTCTTGTGCTTAAATAACTGCCACAGTAATCAAAAGCAGTTATGAATTCCTGAAATGTAATTCCAAATACCTGATTCTAATGAGCCAATATGTTATTTGGATAAACAAATGCCAAAGTTCAGGAGAGGGTCAGAAAGTTGGGTGTTGTCTTTATTTTTGAAGCACGCTGTCTTTAAGTGGCACACAATTGTCCATAAACTGTAGGGACAATTTATCCTTTTAACCTAAAAGGAAAAAACACTCCTCAATCAAATTAAGACCTTTTGCACCTTGGTGATACATCTTTATTTAAAAAACACCACGAGATCTCCATTTTGTTAATTTTTTAGCACTAATCGTGCTTCTCACTAGACATTTAACAAATACAGTTTTTGTTAATGACCATTTCATTCATTCATTCATTCACTTATTCACAGCCCTCTAGATTACATATACCAGGGGGGAAAAACAGGTAAAAAGTAATCTCTGTTCTTGGGGAGTTGAAATTCTAGAGGGCAGAGAACAAACACAGTAAATAAGTAAAGCGTATGGTATTTTAGGTCCTAGGGAAAAAATAAAATAGGGAAAGGGAAATCTGGAGAGAGCAGACTGCAATTTTAGAATGGCTGGGGAGTCTGAGTCGGTCTCATTGAGAAGGTGACTTTCAAACTCTTGCAAAGGGAAAGTGGGTTAGCCAAGCAAAGGGAGGGACCGGGGAAGACAGAATGGATGGTGCCAGAGTCCTGAGGAGGGGGCAGGAGGGGGGGGTGGCCAAGGAACAGCAGGGCAGCTGTGAGAGCGATGGGGCCCTGTGGAAGCTGAGGTCAGAGAGAGCACGGGGTGGGGCGTGCGGATGATGTAGGGTCTCCTGGGCCTCTTCTGGGGAGATCTGGACATTCACTCTAACTGAAGCGAGAGCCATTGCAGGATTTTAAACGGAGAACTGGTGTGATCTGACTTTCAGTGGCCACTCGGATGCCGCGTGGAGACTAGATCGAGGCCAGGCAAGGGTGGGAGCAGGGAGACCAGGTCGGCAGCTGCTCAAACCAAAGCGGCAGCAGATGAAGTGGCGGGAAGTGGTCTGCCCAGGGTCTGTTCTGAAGGTGGCAGTAACGGGGATCGCAGGGGGGTGGAAGGTGGAGTGCGAGAGGAAGGGAGAGGACTAGGATGAGACGGGCCCAGGTATTTTGGACCGAGCAGTGGAGAAGGTGGAGTTTGCATTAACTGAGTGTGTATGTCTTTGTTTCTGGGACTCAGGGCTAAACTTCCGGAAGACAGGGACCAGGGTCCTGTGTTCTGTAAACCTCACAGAATCAAGAAACATAATAAAAATTATCTAAACATAAAATAACACTGAAAGTTCCCCTCATTTATCCCAAACCGCAAGGAGCTCGGGCCTCTTCCATCTCTCAGGGCACGTTTTGAGCTTCCCGCTGGGGCCAGCCCCGCCTCCAACACACAGCGCCCTGCCCCCTGCTGGGTCCGCACCTGAGGGCGCATGCGTCTGGGCAACCGCCGTTCCCCAGCGGGGATGGGCGCGGGTGGGTTCCTTCTTGTCCTCTCTGGACATTCATTTACCCAGACTCCACCACGGGAGTCCAGGCACTTTCCCAAATACGTACGAGACCAGGAGAGGGGTGAGCTGCACCCCGAGGGAGGAGACCTGGCTGCAGCCCTGGTCTGACCATCTTGTTCGCTTGCACTACGAACAACACAGCTGCATCTGCAGGGCATGCGACAAAAATATTGGAGATTTTTTACAGAGGCCAGGGCAAAAACATAAATGAATGACCCTGGCCAGGTGGATAGGTTGGGGAGTAAGTGACTGCTGCAGACCTAGCGTCCCGGGCGGTGGCTGCTGCGAGGGGATACAGGCAACACTCTTGGCCTCCAGACTGAGCCATTGGAGCCGGCCCTTGAAGTCCCTCTGCTGGTGCTTCGAAGTCTTCTAACTCTCCTGTCCTGCCCCTTTGGTTGGCCCATTCATTGTTGGTGGCTCCCACAGTCCCCTTACCTGTTTTCCTGACTCTTGCTGCACCCCTACGACATCATCTGACCCTGGATCCTTTTGCTCCTCTGTGTCTTGCCAACTCTGCTGCCATAACTGGGTCAGGTGTTTATTGATACAAAGTAACGCACACATTTTTACATTTCAGTGTGTAACTGCAAAAATGTATGGATATACACTCTCCCCAGCAGGGAGCCTTTAATATGCCAACACTTGAGATCCACAATCCTTTCCTTTTTTGCCAATCAGGTGGGCAAAAATAGCATCTGATTTTTCTTTTTATCTACGTTTTCCTGACTCCTGGTGAGGCTGAGTGTCTTTTCAAATGTCCCTTGACCCTTCCCATTTTCTTCCGTGGATTAGCTACTCATTCCCATTGACCCTTTTTCTATTGTGTGGTTTGTCTGTGATCCTTTCACAGTTACATAGTTTGCAAATATTTCCTTCCAGCCTATTCAGATGTGTGTGTGTTTTAATGTTATTTATGGTACCTTTCATGCTGCAGAAATTTTTCCTTTTAAAGTCGTTAAATCTGATATTTTTTTTTTCCCTTAAGGTTCTGGGTGTTGCATCTTCCTTCAGAAGACAGCCCCTATATCAAGCCTGTAATGACAGTCTCTGTTATTTTCTCCTGAAGATAGTCATAATTCTGGCCTTTACCTTTGGCCCTTTCAACCATCTGAAAATTATTTTTATGTGATGTGAAGTATGAAAGTTACTATTTTCTTCGTACATTTTCTTCAACATTATTTTCTGAAAAAAAATCTATTGTTTCTCACAAATTTAAAATGAGGCTAGAATATTAAATTCTAGTCACTTAATTCAATGGCAGTCATTTGTCAAGCTCTGCTGCCTACTGAGCTCTGTGCTAAGGCTCAGAGTGGAGCCAATGCCAGAGGGGCTGCTGGACTCTCTCAGAGCTCAGCTTTATTAAATATCATCTGCTGGATCTCATCGTTTTCAAATGCCATAGAGCACTGGCTTCCTAAGAATATTTAATAGCTACTAATGGCAGTTCTAAGTACACCAGTGATTTAAGATCTTAACATATATTCCATTATAAAAGAGGAGCAAAACATGGTAATCTAGAAGACGCTCCCCAGCTTTACCCTGCCCTCATTATAATCTCAGTCCAGGGCCTATCCTTACTCTGGGAAGAGCACACCTCTCTATCTGTGAGCTCCATGAGCAAGAACACAAGTTCAGAGTCACCTTGGTGCCCACAAAGGAAGTGTGTTAATTTCCCATGTCTTTTGTTGCCTCCACGCCCCGGGAGCAAGCATGGCGGTGTGGCTGCATGTGGCCACCAACAAGGACTTTCACTTGGCCCCCAAGTGAAAAGAGCTGGTCTCATAGACCCAGGAGAAACAGGAGGGAAGTTTTCACTGACTTAAGAGAAATGTCAAAATGCAAATATGATTATTATTTTGATGCATAAGGAAGAGATATCAAATGTATTTAGGTAAATACATCTGAAAACTTACCTTGAACTTGAAATTCATCAGTGTATGGCCTCTTTGTAATGCAAGTATAAGGGGAAACAGGACAGGTTTTGTATTTCAATGGTACTTTTTTTTTTAAGGCACATTTTTTGAAAACTATTGACATCTCCAAGGGTCCAAACTAAAAGTCCTAAATTGAGCTGTTCATATGAAAATTTACATAATTCCATGGGAAAGCAAATCTCTATTTCAAGGATGTTTTTTTTTTTTCACCCTCTGCATTATTCTTTTATGAAAACCTCTTTTTCTACCTAAGGCAAGGTAATAGGATGAAGGCTTTAGGATACACCTGGAGATTAGGAAGAAGACACTATTTGGAGGGACATCCTATGAGTTTGTGATCTTAAAGGCTCTACCGTCAGCTTTTGTAAGGTCTGGTGACTTGGCCTACTCTGCAGAGGACCTCTGCGCCTCACCTGCTATGCACTCTTTCCCTTTCCTGCTTTCCAGCCCAATTCTTCAGTGGAATCCAACTAAACAGAGAATGGCTAACGAAACCTGCAGTGGGAGCCAGGCACAAAGGATGGGAGAAAGGTCCAAAGATAAGGAGGGACACAGCGGGACTGGGAATCTCAAGGGCCAAGAGTCAAAGACTGAAGTCCTTTGCCCCAGGTGAACCCACAACTTTTCTGCTCCTCCTCCACCGTGAGAAAACAACTCCCAAGAGATGGGATTATTTGTTACCAATCACATCCACTTGCTGTTTCTCATTAAAAGAAAATATTTCCAGTTCATCTGGGGGATTTAAACTTCAGCAAAATTTTCAGTGTTTATTCTTTAAACACTGAAATGTTAAATGCAATCCCCCAATTTCTGTTGATTTTCTTTTTGACTGGTCCTTTAAAATGTGAAAAGCTTTCATACAATTTTCTTGAAGTGGTTTTATCTTTTGGCTTGCTTTGTTGTCCCTGGCCCTTTTTGAATATTGACTTAATTTTATACTTCTAGGCTCCCTCTACTTTTAACCCATTTGCCATGCCCTCAAGGCACCCCCGAGTATAAGTGGGTAGATGAATTTCTGATTTTGTTCTGTGGATGAGCCAGGATCTCTTGAGCAAATGGGCACACTCTCTGTAGGCTTCTTGTCCTTACTGGCATGGGGTTTTGAACTCTGTAGAGACAAACACATCACTTGAAATTCCCTTAGAACAAATGACCTGGATGAGAGGTTGGCTGGAAGAGAGAGAAAAGGACAGAAAGAAAATATGTAGCATGTTTCCAAAACTTCAGTTTTTAAGCCCAAATAATTTCTTGAAAGGTTCCTTTGGTTAGGAGGGTTTAGGGATTTTTTCATTTCTTTAGTTTCTTTCCAAGTCCTACTTCTGTGACTGCCGCTGGATCACCAACTCCCCAGCACAAAAGAAGGCACCAAAGTCCTCAAGGCTGTCCTCTGCACAAAGGGGACTCTGCCTCATGCTGATAAATGACTTGCGTTAACACCTGTAAGTCTGTTTTGCATCTCCCTTCAACCTTTATTTGCTGCTGATAACAGCGGCAGAAAATGAATCCTGACAGCATGTTGTGATTTTACAGTATCCAGCAGCAAAGCCCCGCTAATTGTGAGCATATGATTTCTTCAAGCACCAAACTGTATATTTAGTCCCTGGCTCTGACCAACCTACTTATTCAGCAGTTGCTAATCATTAAGGCATTAATTGCTTTTCTCCCAGGATTTGAGGAAGATGAAGTTTGCTTTCTAAAAAGCAACTTCTGCTCATCTGGAAAATCATGGTTGTTTCTTCATGGACTGTCCCTGTGGAGGTGGTTTTTGCTGAACTGCTCCAGGAAAAAACAAAATACAACAACAACAACAAAATGTTGGGATAGCAGACAAAGGGCCCTGCGTTGGAGTCTTGCAGAAAGGCAATTCCAGTGGTGTCTAGTTTCAAGCTAGAAGACTAAGATCATAATTTCAGGCCATCAATGGCTCTCCCAGATGTCTTTGGTCAAGTTAATCACAGTTTGCCTGAAGGTTGAGTTTTCAGGTAATCCATCATGGCATGATTGTAAATCAAGAGCTCTGTCTAGCTGAAAGTGGGGAGTTTTTAGATCAGCCTGAGACTGAGGACAGTGGAGGCAAGGCCCCCAGCCTCTATCTTTTTAGTTTTACAACTGAAGCTGGTTACATGACTCTTTCATAAATGCTGAAGAAAGCTTGAGAAGGTACATGTCAAATGGACACATGAATTTATCGTCCTCCGTGTCAGCAGGAACACGTGTAATGTTCTGAGGACTCGGGGTAACCAGGCCTTCTAATGGGTCCTCCAGCAGCTAAGGTTTTCATCCTAGATGGTTAGGAGCTGATCCCACACTGGCAGGGCCTCACCAGGCCCCACAGAGGCGTGGAGTGTGCGGCACAATGCTCTTTGTCACTGGGTGGGGGCGGGGGGGTCTCATTTTCCTGTTTCTCTTACTTTTTTGTCCCTGGTCCCACAACCCCCCTCTACTCTGTGTGAATCTTTCCCTTGATTCACATTTAATTCCTATTTAAGTTAGAAAACCTGGTATTGAAGAAATAACCCTCCAATCTACACTAGAGGGTCTCTAACCCTTAACGTCCAAAATGTTACATCTGTGAAACCTGGTAAAATATACACAAAACCTTTACACACACACACTCCCACGCTGCTGCGTGTTCATGACATGCATCATTTAATTTACTCCTCCACTAAGCCTGTGAGTGAGGTACTATTAGTGCCCCTTTTTTTTTCACTGATGAGGAAATTCGAGGGTGAAGTAAAGCATTGTCCAGGGCCTTCCACATTTTGCATGTGCACAGCCAGCATTTGAGCCCTGCTCTGGCTGTCTTTAGAGAGCGCACACTACCAAAACTTCCACATGCAGGTCGTATGGCAATCACTTGGCATTTTAATTTTTTCCATCACCACTTCTGACCTCCCTCCATGGCACACCAGGCGGGAGAACTGCCAGGCGCTTGCATAGCACTTGCTCAAGCC